CTCCTGGTGTTTGCTCATTTTCTACCTCATGAATCATCTCCAACTAGAGGGAAGTAAGAAAATCAAAGTAGGTTGCTTTTTGCTGCCATATTTTCATACTGACTTGAAGGCTATAGATACAGATTTTGTACATCTACAATGCATTTGTTTGCATTACTGTTATTTGCTGAGAACTAATTATATAAAGGAGTCATGCCCAAAAGATAGAGTGATTTAAATCCCTTAGGATGTTTCTCTTATGATAGAGTAGTAACTTCCATGATCATAGAACTTCTAAAATCCAAGTACGTGGTGTCAAGTATCCTCCAAAGTAGTCCTGCCTTTTCTCTCTCTCTTTCTTTACCATTGTGAGTACATCTGCAGATCCCATTCTGAGTAAGAGAGGAGAGTAGTGTGGTGCCAGTAAACAGGGAGCTAAGGTGTAAGGAAATCCCAAATAGCAACAGAAAGTTCATATGGTCCCTGTACCACCTGTCGGTGCTATTCCCCAGTAGTCGTTCACAAACATCATTGACGTACATTAAAAAGTTAAGTTCTTTTTATATGACAAAATGGTTGAGAGTATGGGCTAAGTGCAGATTGCAAATGCAGTATTTACCAGCTGTGTGCTTTGGACAACCTATCCAAACTTCAGTTATTCACCTTATCTGTGAAATAGGAATTATAATAGTACCTGTCTCATAGAGTTGTAATGAAAATTAAATGAGTTAATACCTGCAAAGCACATAGAATAGTGCCTGTTGCATAGTAAATGATCAGTAAATATTAGCTATAATTAGTTATTATTATATATTTTGAAATTAACTTACTACTAGGAAGCATGCTTAAGCATTTTGCTAGGACTATGAAATGAAAGCCAGCACTATGTCTTGCCTCTGTCAAAATATTTATTGTCTTATATCTGTTTGTATACCTTATTTGGCTATATTGAAATATCAACATCAGATTCTGTTATTTTAACTACAGTTAAATAGAGTTCACTGTCATATTTAGTGGACATAGATTAATATGACTTCATTTCTCTTTTTGCTTAAATTTGAAATCAACATGACTTTTGTTTTATTAAATAAATATGTAGTGAAAGAAATATATAAATGAGATTTCCAATTGGGAAATTCAGCAATGATGAGAAGAACCGTATATGTATTTTAAAGGGCATTTTTCTCTCTATAAAAAAATGTTCTCTGTGGAGTTGTTTCTATCATCACTCCAAAGTAAAATTTATACCTGAATCGGCAGTGACTTTCTGGAAAGCAGTAACTTTACCCAGTGTGGAATACTTTCAGTGCACTGTTATTATTTTACTAAAATTTACATTATAAATTATATTACAAATGTAATTTGTAATAAGTTAAAATGATGTCTTTTAAAATGATACAGAAAAATCTATGAATAGTTTAGTATAATTTCTCATATTTTAACAAAACAAAAAAGAATTTTTGTTTTAGAAATTTATGTAGGTGGCTATTATATCAAATATATTTTAAATATACTTATATTTTTATCTGTGGACTAGTGTGCCCACTATGTACTAGCAACTGTAAATGTTGAGGGTATGGATGAGAATAAAATATAATTTCATGGGAGTACGAAGACATGCGGAAATCAACACTAAATGTATTGAGAGCTATATTTCAAGTATATACAGCGTGTTAGGATAGTACAGAGAGCAATACCTAACAGCCCTGTGGAGAGTGGCCACGGAGGGCAAGGGCTGCAGAAAAATAATTCTGAAATAAAGTGATGCTTGAGCTGAGAGTTTATGGATAATGAGGACAAAGGAAGGGAGTTGAAGAAAAATATAAAGGCTTCCACGCAGAGGAACCCCTACGCAACAAAGCAGGAAGGCAAGAGAAAATGGCACTTTGGGGGGACTAGCAAAATAGTGTGGTGTGAGAGAAGAAAGCATTCGAGGACAGGGCTAGTACCAAATCCAGAGATTACATAGGCACTGGCTCTGCTGATTCTCGTAAGGAAGGTCAAGGATTTTGAATTCCTTCTGAAGGCAAGAGAGAATCATGGAAAGATTTTTAAAGAAAAGTTTTATTTTCATATTTACATTTTAGAAAAATTTCCCTGATAGCAAAGTTGAAGATAGATTGGAAGAGAGCCAGATTAGAGGAATGAAAACCAATTAGAACACAGTTATAATGGAGAATATTATGAGTTAATGCAATGAGTACAAGAATGGAAAGGAGAATTGGAGAATTATTTAGAAGGTAAAATTAGTAGGACGTAGCAATAATTTCCAAAGCTGAGGATGGTGCTACCCTCTGCTGAGAGGGGGAATATAAGAAAAAGAACAAGAGAGATGAGGAATTTCTTTTTAGTTATATGTTAAATTTTACATGTGGAACTTCTCGTATATCATGGGGTTTCCTAGTAGAGATAACCAGGTGGCTGTTAGAAACTCAGATTTAAGATTCTTTTTTTTTTTTTCTTTCTTTTTTTTTTTGGTGAGGAAGATTGGCCCTGAGCTAACATCCATTGCCAATCCTCCTTTTTTTCCTTGAGGAAGTTTGTGACTGAGCTAACACCTGTGCCAGTCTTCCTCTGTTTTTTTTTTTTTTTTTGAGGAAGATCGGCCCTGAGCTAACATCTGCCAATCCTCCTCTTTTTGCTGAGGAAGACTGGCCCTGGGCTAACATCCATGCCCATCTTCCTCCACTTTATATGGGATGCCGCCACAGCATGGCTTGACAAGTGGTGCGTCAGTGCGCACCTGGGATCTGAACCGGCGAACCCTGGGCCGCCACAGTGGAGCACGCGCACTTAACTGCTTGCGCCACGGGGCCGGCCCGTTCCTCTATTTTTTTTATGTGGGATGCTGCCACAGCATGGCTTGATGAGCAGTGTGCCCCGGGATCCGAACCCGCGAACCCTGGGCTGCCGAAGTGGAGCGCGCGAACTTAACCACTATGCCACTGGGCTGACCCCCAGATTTAAGATTCTTAATGTATAACAAGAAAGTAAAGAGAGTGGAGATATCAACTTATGTAAGGTTGTTTACTATGAGCATGTATATGGTTATATAGCATATGGTAAAGGTGTGTGGTCTGAATAAAAATGAGAGCTAAAAATGGAGACCTCACAAAAGACCAGTATTCAAAGTGCCAGAGAAATGGAGCCTCCAAAAGGTTCTTGAAAGGTAGTGGTGAAAAAAGAAAAGAGTGGAAGAGAAATGCCATAGAAACTAAGGAACAAGAGAGGTTAAGACAGAACTTATATATACATAGAAAATATCTGAAAACTTGCACACCAAATTGTTATTAGTGGCTAGCTGTGGGATGTGGGATTGAAGAGAATAACAAAAGACCTGGGAATTTTAATTTGATATTTACATTTTTAAAATAAAAATATTTTATACCTCTCTGTCCTATTTTTGCAACTTCTTGTGAGCTTATAATTATTTCAAAATAAAAAGTAAAAGCAGGGGCCAGCCTGGTGGAGTAGCGGTTAAGTTTGTGTGCTACGCTCCGGCAGCCCGGGGTTCGCAGGTTTGAATCCGGGCGCGGACCAACGCACCACTTGTCAAGCCATGCTGAGGCGGCATCCCATACAAAGTAGAGGAAGGTGGGCATGGATGTTAGCCCAAGGCCAATCTTCCTCAGCAAAAAGAGGAGGATTGGCAACGGTTGTTAGCTCAGGGTTAATCTTCCTCACCAAAAATAAATAAAATAAAAGCAAAAGTCATGTTAAAATGTATGTTATAGTCAATTGAATATGAAAAATAAATCAAATAAGCTTAACCAGAAGAGAAAAAGGAGGGAAAGGACAACATGGAGTGATCAGCAATGTTATACTGCAGATGGGTCAAAAAAGATAAGGACTGACAGCAGCCTTTTAGCTTGGTATTTAGATTTGGTCACAAGTGACCTTATTAAAAGCAATTTCAATGAAAGGCTAAGGGCAGAAGCTTGACTGCAGTTGTTGGGAAGTGGAAATTGAGCACATGAAGAGGTGGCATAGTCATCTCATCAAAAAGAAGCTTGCGTGTAGAGGAAGAGACAGAGATATAGATAGGGATTTAGGGTCCGAGGTGAGTGAACTGTTTGCTCAAGATCCTTATGATGACAAGAAAGAGATCTGTGCAAATTACTTTAGGCATGGAAGTTTATTGCAGGTCACCCAGGCATGTGAAGTAGCATGGGGGATTGACTTGTCAGCCCCCAATCATTCCTGATCCCAGCTTTTCTAAAACTGGAATTTGCAGGAAGTTTTATAGGAAATTGAAGAAGTCACTCAGATTTCTTAGAAGGAAGAGACCTGAGATTATTTATATATTGGAGGTAGGCACCAGTAGAGGGCAAAATCTCTAAAGCACAGGGAAGTGTTGAGGTACTTATGAAAGGAATGTACCTTTAATTTGGAAAGTAAACCCAACTATTTCTGGGAAAGAAGTTTCATGCAAAATACAAAACTCACCATGTTCTAAAGGCTAAGCTAACTGATATATTTTAAACATATATTCACGCTATAAAAATTAATTAAGGGGCTGGCCCGGTGGCACAAGCGGTTAAGTGCGCACACTCCGCTGCAGCAGCCTGGGGTTCACCGATTCGGATCCTGGGCATGCACAGACGCACTGCTTATTGAGCCATTATGTGGCGGCGTCCCATATAAAGTAGAGGAAGATGGGCATGGATGTTAGCTCAGGCCCAATCTTCCTCAGCAAAAAAAAAAATATATGTGTGTGTGTGTATATATATATATATATATATATATACACCCACATATACTGAAGTGTTAGGAATGGTTTTCTCTAACGAAGTCCTACTAGAGAGCTCATAATTATGA